CTAACCTACCAAGAAAGTTTTGGAACTTTGCCTTTGAAACTGCAGTCCATATTATCAATAGATTACCTAGCAAGCCTCTAAAATTTTCCACACCTTATCAAACTTTAACTGGCTTAATCCCATCCTATGACCATCTCAGAATTTTTGGTTGCTTTTGTTTTCCACATTTTAGACCAACCAACAGAGTAAACTTCAACAAAGATCATTACCGTCCACTATAAAACATAATGTTTTAGGTAATAAGTGGAACCTTGGTTACAGTCCTTTTCACAAGGGGTATAGAGTTCTTATTTCTAATGGTAAGATCTTTGTTACCAGAGACATCATATTCAATGAATACTCTTTTCCTTTTCATGCTGATGCCACCACCCCTTCACAAGAAATTTCCAAACATATCCCTTATTCCCCTACACCCATCCCCACCATTCCCACATCTTTACCTTTCCCCAACACTCCTGATACTCCACCCTCACCTCCAGATAACTCAACACCAAATCATCCTACACCACCCAACTCTATTCATTCATCCCCCCACCACAGCTCAACTCCACGCCGCCCGAGAGATTGACGACCAACGGCCCAATAAGGCGACCAAGGGAAGCATCGAAATACTTACGGGCCTAGACATCCAACCCACCCTGCGCGAGAAGAACGTCATCGATGACAAAAGGGACTGGATCGCGCAGCCTAGTGGTGGCTGCCGTCAAGTGCTCGGCGGCCCGCTGGAGAAGGCGCAGTGGCGCTCTAAAGGACTAGGCTAGAGAAAAAAGAGGAATTGGGAAAATTGCCTCTTTGGTTTTGAAAAAAAAAAAATGATTAATCTCCACATGATTTGCATCGCTAACTTTTACACTATTGTAATAGATGGTTGTTTTATTTTATTTTTTATAGAAACTTGAATTCTCCACTTGTCGGAGTATTAGCATTCAGTCTTGTGGGTGTGTTGTAGTGTAGTTCGTTCTAGATTATCATTTTGTAGACATCTCACTAGATTCAGTTGTATAGCTGCTTGAGTCGACTGTTATTAGTTGTTTTTCGGATTGTAATTATATCTATATATAAATTCTATCGTTTGAAAAAAAAAAAAAAAA